AACACAGCATGATTTTAACATGATTCTTTAGGTGATAAAAGAGAGGAAGAAAAATGTTGAACCCAATCCCCTCAGCAAGTCCGTTGTCATATTTTTCTTGAGGAATGCGCGTTGTTCGTTTGAGTAAAGAATCTACAATTGGAACCCTGCCGATCGAGGTTCGACGTGAAATTTCAATTATGTCGCTGATTTGAATAATAATAAAATAGATCGCGACGGAATGAATATTTCAATCACAAAAATTAGAACAAATCACATGCAAGCGTTGACGCACGTATTTTTCTATGCTGATGGAGCCTTTGGTCGATAGGAAGAATCTCAATATAGTTTCAAGCTACTGTGAAAATAATTTGGAAGAACCACACATGTAGAAAACGCATGTATGATGAAATTTAAACATTTACATGAAAAGAAGTAGCAGACAACCATTTTATCTAAAATGGTATTCTAAGAGAACCGGTAATTAGCGTCGTCCGAGTGATGAGTTTATGACTGCTTCGGAAACCGACTGTCTTTCACGGATTCCAAAAATAATATTTCGTATTTATTTTTTCAGCAGCAGTTCTATCTCTTCATGATGGGCGCGTTCCTTTTTTTCGACACGGAGAAAATTTATAAATGTTTTCTCTTTGAAGTTACATTGGAAAGTTATGATCGCCTTCATCCGCGAACAATTTTCATTTCATTTTGACGTCGAGAGTTCTGCACAAAAAAGAGTGATTTCACGTGAGTCATGCTTATTCCAATGATTCAGAAAAAAAGAAAAACAAGATATTTCGTAGAACTTTCAACGATCATTATTTCTTGGATTTTATTTTTCATAATCGACTGTCTTGTTACTTTTCCTTGCTTTCATGCTATTCAGAAACTCAACGTCTGCTGCAGATACAGCAGTACCTCGTCATCAAACGCATGTCTTCTGAAAGCGCTGTGAGAAAAGCTTCCAATCCCGCACATTTTGCTTTTCATGCGGAACAATGGCAAGCCATCATACAATAGACGACCTGACTGGTCCTCACGTTTTCTGGAAGTTAAAAAAAAAACTAACGAGAAATGACAGCTGAATTTTCAAACGAAACGGTCGACGAATAAAAGCGTTTTGTTTCATTTGAAGGTACCTCTCCCTTCACCTACTAAGATATCATGAACCTCCTTTCTGTGGCTTTTATATATTTACATAGATGTCACTAAGAGCATCCCGTGTGTGGGTGCCCGTGTGAATCACGACCTCGCGCGCGGCATTTCTTTAATTCTTCCTATGGATTCATACCAAGCATCACATACATAACATTACACTTAATACAGTATTTAGGAAGCAGCGTAACATACACAAGAAAGAATTTGATGCAAAATTGTATGCCCCAACATTCATCCCAGTGTTGCCTAAACATTTGAGATTTCTATAGTGTCTCAATAATAATTCAATTAATGTATCCAAACAACACAAAATTCCGTAATCTATTAAATTCAATTGAACTTCTATGCCGATGGGTTCCGGCTAGTTTTCATTGTCTTAGGAGGAGTTGTTGGAGCAGTACTAGTTTCCATCTAATGTACTGAGTTGACTATAGCTAAACCTCAGTTTATTATTATTTATAGATGTCGCTTGTAGATTCGACAAATTATAATAAATGGCACGTCAAAACTCAATTGGCTTCTTCATCGGTATAGGTGCCCCTATTCGGAAGGGACAAAGATAGATTGGAAGTTGAAAGTCGAGGAGAATTTATTTTCGAATGCATAATTTTTCTCTGCATAATACTGTACTTATAGTATTGCTGCAGACCTGCAGTACAATAAGAGGATCCACGTCATTCCAAAAAATAAAAAAGACTGTCTCTTTGTTTGATATGAAATTTGGGTTGCATTATGCAAATTTTCTGTAAATCACAGTTCCACGAACACGATTTTCCAAAATTTTCAAGAAAACAATCTGGTCTGCGGCATACCCATCAGGTAAAAAATATTTGAATCGTATCGTGCCCTCATCACATTCAAATCGATTGTGAATAAAGAAATATTCAAAGGTTCAATTTTTTTAAATTCTTAGAGCATCGTTTTTATGAAAGTTATGAATACTGTGCGACTGTGACTACCATTCTACTATGGATAAGTGCTATAACTGTATACCATCGTCTCGATCATGTCTAAGAGAAAGTAAAATCTCCGTTTCGATTATTCGCGAGGGGAAATTCGGGAAGTGAGAGTAAATTGCATATCGTTTTCAGCCAGTCATAATTATTCCAGGGCATGAGAATTCCACTGTTATGTTAATTCAGCATTGTATATACTGTGCAGCCCAGCCTCCTGCATAGCAACGTCGGCAGTGACAGCATTTTATTCGGAGCGGGTGAATCGACGGGAGGTGTGTCAGCATGGTCGGCGTCAGTCGACGAAAACGTAAATCTTGATTATTCGATCAACGAGCTCACTGACTTGGCTCAGGTTTTGCAGTTAGAATCATTGGAAGGCAGAAGTTCTGCAAGTACACTGCGGTATATTGTACTGCAGTACAGCACGACAGCTTTTTAACAAGCAAATGTTTTGCTGCTGAGGCCAAATTTTGATTAACTGACGAAAGGGAATACCAACGAATCAACTTGTTCGTGCATGATACGCACAGCTAGCGAAAACTGCTTCATTTGTTTTAAAATCATTAATTACTTACTCTGGTTATTTGATGAACTTGAAGAATTTCGCGAATGTCATGGTATTGTATACGGTAAGATTATCGTGATACTTGGTTTGAAGAATTATGTTACTCTTTGAAGAATTATGTTACACTGATGCGCTTTACAGTGTTCGTGGAAAGGGATGGTACGAAAAATGAGTGCGTTGTACTTGCACACATTGAAATCTTGCTATTACAACGAGTCCCTGCATGACGAAAAAAAAAAACGCATCACGAAAATGTTCGGAGGAAAAAATGACTAACATTACATAATTATTTCACACCCCCCCCCCCCCCCCCCACCCCAGAAAATGCACAAATTTTAACCAGTTTTGACCTGAAAATTGAGAATTTTTCACAGATTTAGAAGGAAGGTACTACAAGAAAAGCATAGTTTTACAACTTCTCCTCTTCATAATTATTTGAGAAAATCAAAAAGTTATGATCACTTAGTTATCAGAATTGAACTTCAGTTTTATGCTATGCAATATTACGGTCACATTCCTGTGCTGAAAAACGCACAAGTTTTGTAGTTTATTACGATCGTAAGGTGAGTGGCTGGAACCCATGAAATTAATTATAATGCAATCTCAAGGAAAAATGCATTTCACATGCGGGAAAGTTCGACACAATGAAACTCATTCAGGAATGGTTTAGTTTCTTTATGCAGGTACACACACTGTTCTTCATACTCAGTCAGTAACATTTTGAATGTTCCTGCAGCATTACTTGACTGTACTTCACCGCGTATGATTTCGAATTGCTGTGTTCCACAGTGGCGATAGGGCCACCGTGTGAAGGTCATGGCTTCTACAGGATGTTACAGCACACGCACATCAAACCGGTCGCCAGTCGGTCGATGGATTCCTTTTCATTCCCCTGTGATGGAGACACAAAGGGTGCGAAGGGACTGTAAGTGTTCGATCACCAGACAGATGTAATCTCGGTGAGTGATAACGTGTATTCCACAACTGATTTTTTCAACGTCAATTCTTCTTAACGAACAATATCATGATATATTAATTTTAAAAATATTAGGAATGAACCAAGTGAAAGCATGAAAAATTCGGATCCCGTACTTCCGTAATCCGTGTTACTTTCCCTGGAATAGTTGCGGAGTCGTCCTCCGAATGATACCACACCACTTGTGGCAAGATCACGTGACAGCGCGCAGGTCGGCGAGCCCACGGCAGCAGCGCGAACTCAGACGGGGAACTGCGCCGTAGACTGGCGCACAGTGTCTTTTTACATTTCCCGCATTCGAGCTCTCGATGCATCAATTTTGTTGCATTTCTCTCTGTGCTTCGGATGTGTGCATCTTCCATTGAATTTTTGAGATGAACGGACTTGTGTGCAAATATCTTATTTAGGGAAATTTAAATTCGCGGTGCCCTAGCGGTAGAGTTTTAGTTGCTGTTGAGTTCGCTGTCCATTCGGTTGAGCAGTGTTCACAACTTTAATTTTTCCCACGGTATGCCGTGTTCGTTCTGTTCGCGCGACTGACATCGAGTTCTCAGCATGAAGGCGGTTCTTTCTGGACCCGCTCTGATAAATTCATAGGATGTCCCACACGTTCAAGTCGACTGTGCTCAGTTTTGTAAGGGCCGGCTCCGAACGTCGTGGCTTTACAGAATGTTATTCGATGTCTTCGCGTGCGCGGAACCCGGACAAGAGTGCCAATGATTCATGTTTGAGATTGCTCTGGGGATCGAATTTTATGTACTGGATTTATGTACATTTACAGAACCGGCTTCAAGTGTGAACATTTTCATTGGAGCTGTTTTTCCGAAGTACGCCGTACGATTTATAAGGTGCTCAGCGTTGAACTTCAAGTCGATGTTGACGTTAACATGAGGCTTGTTTATCTAGTCCAGATCATATGGGTGTTATTTGTGATTGTGTGATCAAGACGAGTTATAACGTGGAATATCAAAATTTGGAGCTATCCTAGTTGGGGGGACCCCAGTTGTGGGTCCCCCCCAACTAGGATAGCTCCGGATTTTTCTTGATGCATCTTTGTGTTTCCCACTGTTATCGTCTGTTTCTTTGTTGCCTTGTCCGATGTATGCTGTGTCTTTTCAAGTGCGCTGTTGCAGACTTTCAGCACTTGGCGTAGTTTGTGAGTGCTCCCCGAAACATAATAGGGAATATGGTTGAATATAATTAGTTTGAGGCTGTTGTGAATCCTGACTTCTAATAAGAGTCACTTCGTAAGTCTTAAGCTAAAAACAGCATCTACAACAAGACTGGCTCTGGCATCGAACACACAAGCTTCCAGAAGCAGGAATACAACTTCGAAGGAAAAACAAAGTCCGAACGAAAGAAACAGCTTGTGGGATTTTCGATCTGTGACTGTACTTAATCGAAAGTTTTAACTCAGTATGACTACTTATTTCAACTATCCACCGCCTGAGGTCCAGGCCGAGCTTAGGCAGATCGCCGAAGCCATTGTGGCTCCCGGGAAGGGTATTTTGGCAGCCGATGAGTCCACTGGTACTTGCGGAAAGAGATTCTCCAGCATCGGAGTAGAGAACAACGAAGAAAACCGTCGCCTGTATCGTCAGGTTTGTTTAGTGCTGTAGTGATTTCATATGTGATGAATTGTTCGTATTACCTTGATGCCTTTCCATCAGTTGCTCTTCACAGCCGATGACGCTGTTGCCGAGAACATCAGTGGCGTCATCCTGTTCCATGAGACATTGTACCAGAAGACTGACGACGGAACTCCATTTGTGGAAGTGTTGAAGAAGAAGGGCATTATCCCCGGCATCAAGGTCGACAAGGGTGTTGTACCTTTGTTCGGCTCCGAGGACGAGTGCACGACGCAAGGTTTGTTTTACAAACATTACTCGATGACGCGATTTTTTCACGTCTGTCGCATTGCCTCCAATTGACTCATGTAAGGAAACAATAGGCGTCTATGTTGATCCTTTATTTCCTGCAAGTTTATACTGAGTTTTGGAATGCCTCTGTGATTCATTCATTTTTTTGCAGGTTTGAATTTTGTTCAACCTGATCCGTACATTTGGTTTGATCAGTCGATCTTTCTTATGCTATTTCCTTTCGCGATTAGTTTTAAACATAATCGGTGGAGTCCCGAGGTGTTTTAGCTGTAATTTATGTTCAATGCAGATGTTTGAATTGAAAACTTTACCCTGAATTATATTGAACATGTCTGCGTGAAACAAAAATTTTGATTCTGGATTCGATTTGGTATGCGAAATGTTTTTCATGTGAGACATTTCAGTACACTTATTAGTGAAAAACGTTTAATTGATTCCGGATATCCACAAAATCATCTCTGATGAACTTCGGAAATCTCTATTTTAGCAAATTTAAAAAGTATGGTAGAAGCGTGAGCTTAATATTATTTTGCTTAAAATTTGATTCATGGGTGAAATTTCGAAGTTCTCAACTTCCTATGATACGCAAATTATTGTGGCTAGAAAAGGCAGAACTGTTGATTGTTCATTTCTTCTTTCCTTCCACAATTTTCTCCGCGATTTGAAAATCAGAAGTTTGAACTCAAAAGTTGATTATCTTATTTTCTCCATAAGTTTTTTTTTTTTTTTTAATAAGAACTGCCTTTTTTGCTGTGGTTCAGTAGTTAATTGGTGACCAACTTGATGTGATCTGTAAACTTTTTTTTAGCCCTATTTTTTGACAATGCTGACAGAAATGAATGTTCAAAAGTTTTTCATGTGTGCATTTCAGATGGCCATATCCCTATGTCATGAAGTGAACACCATCTCAAAATGTTCGAAGTGAACATAATTTCGTAGCTCAAGTTCAATTTCCGACATTCTCAGTTCTTGAGATATTTTCGTGCAGTTTTGAGTGAATCTTTTGATGTACAGTATATTTAAATTTATCTCTGAGTTCAGCTTCATCTTGAATATTACTAGAGAGAAAAATCGCCATAAAGTAATATTGCAAAACTTGAGAAAGATTTTCATTGATGTTTCATTTGAGCTTTAATCCTGTTTCTTTAAAGTTTAATGCCGTCTTGAAGCACCGAGTCGAAATTATTTGTGTGTAGTTCATGGGTAATCTTCGTATACTGTAGTTCTGTAAATCAAGAAATGGAAGTATAAATCCGTGAAATGTTTTGGTACCGTACAGTTTCCATCTTCCAAATGTCCGGTCTTGAGTTGTTCACGAATCAGCATAAAATATACATTTAGTAATTGTTTTAAACGAGGCCTCACAAATTTCATTTCTGCAAACAATTCAAGTTGGACGCATTGGCTGGAATGCAGTACCGTACTTCTAATCCCTTTGTAGTTCTCTCAGTCCCAGCTCATCAAGCGTCCTATTTCAGGTTTGGATGACTTGCAACAGCGTTGCGCTCAGTACAAGAAGGATGGGTGTCAGTTTGCCAAGTGGCGCTGCGTGTTGAAGATCACAAAAAATACCCCATCTTATCAAGCCATCTTGGAGAATGCGAATGTACTCGCCAGGTACGCATCCATCTGTCAGTCGGAGCGCATCGTCCCGATCGTGGAACCTGAGGTGAGAAAATATTTTCAACTAATTTATCTGTCTACAATTTCTACATTATCATCTGGGAGGCAGTCATGCAGGATATGTGTCATACCGTGATCTCAGAAAAACCTTTTTGTCTCAGGTGCTCCCCGACGGTGATCATGACGTTGACAGAGCCCAGAAGGTTACCGAAACCGTGCTCGCTGCGGTGTACAAGGCTCTGAACGACCACCACGTGTTCCTGGAGGGAACCCTATTGAAGCCGAACATGGTCACTTCTGGTCAGAATTGCCCCAATAAATCCACTTTCTTGGATAATGCTCGGGCGACAGTTCTGGCACTCTCTCGCGCTGTTCCCGCGGCAGTTACTGGTGATTACTTGTGTATTTTTTTCACTTCGCGATACGCTTGACGTTTGCAGAAACTCTTTTTTGACTTGTGGATGCTCTTCATTGTATTTATTGGTCGTCTTAATTATGTTATAGGTGTGACATTCCTGTCTGGTGGACAGAGTGAAGAGGAGGCTACTGTGAACCTGAACGCGATCAACACCATTCCGCTGCGTAAACCCTGGGCTTTGACCTTCTCGTTTGGTCGAGCTCTTCAAGCCTCAGTGCTTAAAGCTTGGGGCGGCAAAACGGAAAACGTTCCCGCTGCTCAAAAAGAACTCATCAAGCGTGCGAAGGTATATATATATATTTGTCATCACTTGAAATTTTTAAAAATGCAGCAGTATAGTACAGTATTTATTTGAGTACCGAGCGCCATTGAGTAAGACGTGCAACTTAGTTTTTAGTTCCCAAAATTCATATTTTGAAAGCTACATGGTGTGAAAATCTAAATACAAGTCCGCTGAGAAAGGACCAAAAAATGTTTTATGAATTTACTGTGTATCCAACTGACGCGGACCTACTTATTTGTCCCTGTGTTTTGGAAAGCGGTTGTGCATCATGGTATAGTAAGAGTCGCCGTGACGAACAGAGAAATAACCAACACAGGCACTGCGGGTATGTACAGGATTGTTCTTATTTCCGGGTGGTAAGGAGACTCTGTACAGAATAAGTATGTTGGTTAGGGATTACACTCATTGCGAATGGAAGTCAGGGGTTTGTAAAGAGAGGATGTTTGTGCTGGTCTGTGGCTTGCTCAAAACTGAGGAACTTTTTAGCCCTGCTGGCCTAACATGGCTGCCTGGGAAGGAAAGATTCAAAGACGCTAGCGCGCCAAAAAGAAGTTAGTACAAGGGGAGTGACCTAGGTGTCGCTGGCCCGTACTGTATTATAGTGAAGAAGGTATTTCGGGTTCACAGTTCGCCAAGAAACCTTTTTTTTACTCGCTTCCATGATCTACCATACGCAAAATTAGACTTACAGGCTTCACAAGAAGAAACTGGACCGATTCTCCAAGAGGGATATTTTTCGAAGAGTTGACGTTATCACTTTTCAAGAAGGGATATATTACGTATAAGCAAATGTATTATGTTTTCCAATAGATTCGAATTATATGGCTCCAGTTGCGTTTGAATAATCACTCCAGCTATTTGAGTGAAATAAACTCACCTGCGCACTTAAGTTTTGTCAGTTTTCAAGCCCAGACGCTTCGGATTCAGTTGAAGCTTAGCTAGCCTTAAATGGAAAAGATTTTCTTTGTCTTCCATCCTTCTCAGGACGACCTTTTGTTCGCTTTTTCAATGCGGAAATGAAAGAAATGAAGACGAAAAAGAATGGAATATTGAACTCCTTGACCGATTAAAACTTCTATTTCTGGATTACCGGTGAACAAAATCCTCAGCCAGTTTAAATATCTGTTAATTCAAAAATAAAATGTGAGAAAACGTGTCGATTTCTTTTCATGCAAATTTTAATTTTTCCTAGGCATTCCAATGTTCATTACGTTCAGATATATACTGTAGTGCGAGCAATGTGATCAGATAATACGAGTGAATCCAGTTTTTGGAGCGTGGTCGAGCGCTTTATTATTTTTTTTACATATGCCAACGTTTGGTGACTGACCTCAGCCTGCCGGAAATGATTCAGAATTGTTTCCTCTCTCTCCTCACCCTGTTTATTTCTTATGGACTTCTTTTTTTTTTCAGGCCAATGGAGACGCCGCTCAGGGTAAGTACTCCGCTGGCAGCTGTGCTGGAGCTGCAGCTGGAGAAGGCCTCTTCATCAAGAATCATGCGTACTAAACAATGAAAAATGGATCCTCTTGAAAGAAGAATCAAATCATTTCTACCACTAGCTTTTTCCTTGCATCACGCGCATTATTTCTCGCCCTCCAAAAGTGCGTCCGGCACAAGTTGATGGAACATCGTGCAATAAACTTGACATTGGTCGAGGGTATTCGCTAGAATTAAATCTAATGAACAAGAAAGGATGCTCGGCGACTTGAATTTTGAAGAATTTGCTTAGCTTCTACATGGGTGCCTTGGTTGGGGAAGTGAAAAGTCTAGTTCTATCTATATACTTGTCCACTGGTCTGTTGATATTCATAAAATGGAGGTGCTGAAGTGTCATGAAAAACTATCCCACTTGGGTCTGCAAGAAATGAAATGACGGTCTTACTTCTGGTAGACTCCAATCATGTCTTCAGTTTATTGCAACCTCCGTGAAACGCTTGTGAGACACATTTCCTAAAATTATTGGCTAACGTGTGATAATTCCGAGATTTTAAATTTTTTATCATGCAAGGGAATCGGCAGTTCTGAAATGCCGAATCTTCCTCATCTATATCCGGATGGAGGGCTGATTTCCTCAAATCTCGAAATGACCTATTGAGAATTCTCGTGTATGAAGAATTGTGCAAGGAAGGGATATATTCAACTAATAAAATGCCAAGCATATAATTACGATACAGTATTTTAATGTGTATCGAAATTTTAATTTCTTCATATTGGGCTAGTTATTTTCCTGAAAATATCTGCATCTTTCAGCGGCAGATTTGATGTTGGATGTTACGCACGTGCAGAAATTTCTGAATTGTAAATTTGTATCTGTTCTAAAAAGGTTCTTAATCTCTCGACGGACCACGGTGCACAGAACATCGCCAATTAATAATTGAGGGAATGAACGTAATTCTGTTTGAAAGGATTTTTGTATGTACTTCACTTCCCTTTTGTTGAAAGCTAACCTCTATACCCCTGCAAGGCTGAGTTCCAGAGACTCCTAGAAAATTAAAGTCATGAAGGTTTGAAGATTTCAGACATCAGGGACTGGCCAGAAGTTTGACACAAGTTTTTGACGGATATGGGGTATAGGTTTTATTCAGCAAGGTGTAACTGTAAAGATTATATTTATTTGGAATACTGTTGAAGTCACCGTTGGCCTTTCAGTAAAGCACTCCCTTTTACACTCATAGAAACGAAAAAGAATAGTTTGAGTCGAAATAATTTTGTCAGTGCTGAAATTCCCTACTGGAGTATGTAGAGAATCGAAAATTTCTGATGAAAAAACTTGAATTTATTGTGAATTGAGTTTTTATCGATGAAACGTTGGCTCCGTCAGGTCGATGAGCTAAATTCCTTTCAGATTTGAACGCTGACTCGGTGCGACGAGGCTATAATAGAAGCAGATTTAATAACAAAAAAAGAGAGAAATGCGAGTAGAACACCACACAAAAGTTTCCCAGATAATGCACTTCTCCAAGAAAGAAACAAAAAATTACAAGAAAAAAAAAACCCTCCGGAAGCTCTTTGTGGCACATCAAATATCCCATATGCGGCGATCGCGCTTGCATGGAAGCCTCAGTCATCATCAACTTCACTCACTGAAGTGCAGTGCGCGCGACGATATAATCACACAATAAAGAAGCAAACGAACAAAAAAAAATGTTTCCGAATCAAAAATCGAATCGTCTAGAATAAAAGATCCGCTGTGATCCCGGCTTCGGTAAACTTTTCTCCCACTTCCGACTCAATCACGAAATCCGATTCCGGAATTTCATCTTTTGGCGGGCTTTTTCCTCCAGATTTTCCTGATGTTGATGAAAACTGCTGTCCCGTCATGCTGCCGGCTCTGGTCACTCCAAGCTCGAATTTCGTTCCCATGCTGCTGGGTGTATAGTTTCCGAGACCCACTGAAACCAAAGGAGAAACGGTTGATCACAATAAGATCAAGAAATGACACAGTAAGAAAAGACGTGCAATTCCAAGTCAAATTTTCGATGCAAACATGCCCTACTACGACTGTGTAGATGGCGATCTGAATCGTCCTCGAGAAATTGACATCTTCTGCTTAAATTGTTGCGAAGTCAAGGAATGTCCTCATCATACCTCTCGTTAAAACTCAAACCAATCGATGAGATATAGATCGCATGATGAACTAAAAAAAAAAACTGAAGCAGTTGAAAGTCAAATTTCTTGAAGGTCAATTTACGCACGCAATTTCCTGGACAAGGAAGACACTTGCAGAAAAAAAGTCGTGAGAGATGCTATATGAACGTGCATGAGACAATTGATTTTCTCGTGAGAAAAATGTGCATTCACTAGAAAAAGCCTGGCAATCAACCGAACAGAGAACCATACATCATCAAAATTATCTGCATCAACACGAAAATCACAGTTCACCTGCTTTTTTCACTCGACTGTTCTTGAACCGTTTCTTGATTTGATCAAGGCTGCATTCCTGCATATTTCGAAATTTTTTTTGTTCGACAAATAGCAATAAATAAATCGGAAAATTACGTTTCGAAAGGATTTGATGACTGGCCTGGGAAATGTCAGTTCTGCAAGGATATAAACCTGAATCAGTCGGGAACCAGGATAATAAAGTACTAGATAAGTCTCAAGCTTGAAGCACATTTCCGAAATGGATGGTTTGGTTCTGCTTTACTCAGTCTAGTTACATCGTTCGTTTTTAGGTTGATGTGCTCGTTTTTGATGAGATGGCCTCTGAAATGACGTTTTCCTTTCGTTAAAAAAAAATCTTGCAGTTGTTGTTGAGTTAGGTAAAGGTTGGTCTCAATATCAGTTCGATCGACCGAACTAACCAGCAGTTGACTATTACAGTATTTCCGATGGAAACGTTTCACAGTGTAAACATTCCTATATACAACGATTTTCTATATTGAACGAATTTTTCTCTGGTCCCCGCCGAAGTTACATAATTTTTATGAATCAATCAACGTATCGCAAACGACAAGATTCTCTTTTTTGAATAATTTTTCTGCCTCCAGCTGAGTGTACGTGTTGTGATGGATACGTAACAGGGGGCTGTATACGAGATATTCCGAAGCAACAAAGCCTATTTGTGGTCTCTCCTCTGAACCTTCTCACAATCTTATCTTCACACTTGGAGTATTTGTTTGGTTTTCAAAAAAAAAATCAAAATGCGAGGTGTTCAAGTTATATACGTACAGTGCATTTGGTTTATTGTATGCTGCGCAGCCTATCATTTGTGACGTTGAAAAGGGTCTTCGAAATATTGAACACCAGGGTACTGGTGTTCAATATTCCAGGGTACTGAAAAACGACAGGAAAATCGAATACGGTATCAACATAGCTGAAACACGCAAGAATGAAAATACTGTAATCTATGATCATCTAACGCTGCCGAAATTCCCTCGAATCTAAAAAAATGAAAACATTTCCCAATTATCATGGCAAAGGATCGTATTTGAAAAATTAAAAATTTGTACCAAAATCTACCGTGCTGTTGCTGGCTCAATATGCGACCATGAACGTTTTTCGTTATCATATTCGGTGATCTTAATGATGCTTATAGTATTTGTCTTTATATATTTTATGCAATTCTATTCAAAATTACTGTATGCGAAAATTTGTGGATGGCTTTCGCTCCTTTTGGCAAGCTCGCGATTTTGGATTGGCAAATAAAAATCTCGGAGGAATGTGCTGGCATTGGTACAAGAACATGCTTGCACTTGTAGCAAACCTTTCAAAAATAAAATGACACAGAATGACTTTTACACAGAATTACTTTTTTAAATATCGGAGCCGTCCATAGAAAGCAGACTACAGTATAGTATAGAAGTGTTCCTCAACCTTTTTGCGCCCACGGACCGGCGAATTCCCACAATTTTTTTTTTTGCAGACCGACAAATATCTCAACAATTTTCTGCAAACCGGCAAAGTTTTACAAATTTTTGCAGACTCAAAAGAAAGCTTTATGGCAGACATTCAAAAAGCATCTGCTTTTTTTCAAAAAGTATGTCAAGAACCAATTCAGCAGCTTGAGTGGAATGTCCTTCAAAAAATTAAGAAAAGACTGATTCTTTTACTATAATTTTCTGAGAAACGAAAGGTTTCTCAGAATGAACATTTCAAATAATTCATGCTAGGAGGTGTAAATTTGTCGAAATTGTTCTTAGGAGAAAAGCAAACTTTCATCATTCATGAAATAAATTCAGCTGCCATCGTCAAGGGTCTTAAAGTATGCATGTACTTCTTTGAAGTAGAGATGAAAAATATTTAATCAATACGACTTGTTTTAAAAGGTGCCTGGTCGTTTTTTTGAAGACGTCTGGCCGCGACCAGGCGTCTGGTGCTGTTGGGGAACACTGGACTGAAGAACCATGACGTAGGGCATCATTTGAAACAGAATTGGACGTTCTCGTAAATTTTTTTAATGCGTGATTCCTAAAACTTCAGAAGACAGATCGAGAACAGTGTAAAAATGGTAACACTCGTTGTTCACTCAGCTTGTTATGTGTTCCTGACGAACTTTCGTCACTTTCTTCTTTAGTGGAAAAAAAGGCAATCTTTTAATGAGGTAAATCAAATGTCGGCATAAAAACAGCTCGTGTTCGCGATCAGCTCCAGTTGTTCAACGGACAGCAGCACCAACATTAACACTGAAAGGGAACAAGATTAAAAGTTCCGCTATATGCTTCATTTTGAACTACACCAGAAGCAGCAGGAGGTACGAGTGGAGTACAGGTGTCTCATTCTAGCGATAAGAAAAAACACCGAACGGGAAATCACATAAGCATAAGTTCTCACGCCATTATGAGATTATTTATAAACATGAAGTCGTGCTTGGCGCCAATTAAGCACGAATGCAAATGCGCGCACCCGTCGGCAAAAAAATAATTTAAAAAAATTGTAAGCGCCACTTGCCCGAAATGACGTGGTTCCAAAGGCAAGCATTCTCGTGGTGTTCCTTATCTGAAGGTTTTATATTTTCGAAATAACAAATGTGAGACTTTCAAAGCTCGATATACATTTTCACGCTGTTCCAACTTCTGAATACGAAGATTTTCTGTCAAAGCTTATACTGCATACATAGCTGGAAATTATCGTGTTTTCAATTTGAACTTAAATTCCCGATCAAAGAGGAAAACAAGTTTCAATTGTCCGGTGACATGGGCTTATTTAAACAGAATGAAAAAATCGCATTTGCTTTTCGAACAAAATTTCATCTCCTATTTGGCTTCTCGTCCGCGTTCTGTAAAATATATTAGAAGCAGAATTCTTCAATTTTTGCAGTACTCCGACGGGAATCAGTTGGAAAATTTGTGAATCATAATGAGAACACAAGCATATTTATCGCTTTATCCTGTAAGAGACATTTTAGCCCAAAGAAAGGCTAAGCTAGATGGGGTTCCGTGCGTATTGTTCCTGTAGGAAATTTTTTAGGGGTTATTTTATAAGAGTTCTTTCGCGCGCTTTTGATAAAGAGGTTCCAAAAAGAGGATTTACGTGTAGTGACGACGAGATGCTTGTAACTATAATAGCATAAATTAAATTATCGCAAATATGGCAATTTAATTAGGCTTTGTAAATCGATTCGTAGCCATGATGAAGCCGAAAACGGTCCGAAAGATTACATTTGAAAAGGCGAGAATTATCTGGGGTTCCCCCTTATTTTTTTACCTTCGAATGTGTTACTGTATTTAAATTATGTGTAGCCATGAAGATATGAGTTCATCTTACTAAACTTTAATATTACTCCTGATCTTTTCTTGCAAATGGTTCGACTACGTAAGGCCCTGACTCACCGGCCAAAAGACAGCCAGGACATAAGAACAGGCCTTCTGACGAAAGCTGACCAGCATCATTGTTCGCCATGGCAACACTGTGACTATTCCCTTCCTCATCCGCATCTCCGTTCATCGATGAAATTGGCACGTTTCGCGATGTTTGCGCCAACTTCTCGATGCGAATCTCTTCGGCCAAACTCTTCTCCGAAGGATACTCAAACGTCGTCGTTGCTCCATCGTCGAATTGCAGTCGTCCCTGCAAAAGGCCGATACAAACAAGATAGTCAATTCTTGCATTGCTGAATATTAAACAAAATTTGGCTAAAACTCGAACGCGATTTTTTTTGGAACTGAATGTCAGTGCAGTTCAATACGGTAAATTGAACCTCCCCAAGTCACAAACCTTTAAAACTTTACTTTTTCCAAGTCCTCGTCAGAATTCCCTCATTAACAACAATGCCTTAGAAAACATCCCTATATAACTCGACAAAGGCTTTCCTCCTCAGTCCTGCATAACTCAAATTTTCTACAGGCCTTTTGGCTGCTAATTTTTTTCGACACAGGAATGAGAAAGGGGATAAAAATGTAACAATATAAATTGAAAGGAAGTGAAATAATAATTTGGCAAATAAACCCTTGCCTCCAAGTTCAGCATCCTGTCAACTCATTTAGGAAGCAATTTAAGGCCCAGAATATCACCAATTTCAATTCCATGTTTCATGGCTTTCTTTCCCTTGATCTTTTGTTTCCTAACTCAAAACATCCTCAACTCGAATTTTTTGCTGGTCCTTTGAAATTCGACTTGAAGAGGTCCGACTGTCTTAGCACATTACATTGACATTTTAAAAGCATCGAAACATTCAAAAACACAAAGACGGCCTTTCACTTCTTCAAATTAAAATGCATCAAAAATAGGCTCTACGTCAGGACTATCATGGGTTCAATAATTTCACAACCCGGAAAAAATTTGAAATACACTCAGTGCTGGCAAGCCAGCATCTCAAGGGCTTTTCCGGAATAAATAAATTGGGCAGAAGAAGTGAATTGCATGAGTTTAAAAATTAGTGATGACATCGCCGAACCAGTAGTAAGTCGCAGAAGTAAAAGATAAATCGCAACAGCAGCTTTTGAGTTATAAAACATTTCAATTGTAGCTTTCAAAATTTCATCAATGCTTTCAAATGAGCATTATTTCCTTTCAAATGAATGTTGGAAGGAAGTGTTACTTGGAAGTAGGTCAGCTGAGGAATACTTATCCACATTTTCCGAAATTTAAACCATGATTAAGGCTTTGAAAGACAATTATGAAAACTACGGACGGAACAGTCACTAGAATTCATGAAAAAACGAAGTTTTTCTTCAACGCGGTGCAAGAAATTATTAATGAATGAGTACCGTACCTTTTTAAGCTCGAAGCCGATCATTTCACGACTTTCAAATCCCCTTATTTAAAGTCTCCGGAAACCAAGTTTTCATTTATTTTGGAAAGGAAATATGGATGATAAAACTCTTCCTTTTGTGAATCCAGTTGCGAGTGGATGGAACCGAAAACCTGGACGCAATGGCCCGTGAAAAAGAAGCATAAGGGCAAACTTAGATCCTTAATATTCGTCAACAAACCACCGGCACTACAAAAAATATAAGCCCAGACAACGAGAATATAAATCTCAAGTTCGCGAGGCAATTCAAAAAAGACATGACGTGATTATCATCACCGTTCGTTTAGTCCAAAGAACCGTGTTCTCACTACTTGATTTACGAACACGGGGCATTTTCGCTATTTCCATCTCATTGCTGGTGTGGAAGATAAATATAGTTTTTCTT